CAAACGAACCTGGTTAAAATTGCTAGAATCCCTGTCCACTGTGATTCGACGTGATCGCGATTCCGCCTCGAAAAGTCGGAGTTTAACGATGAGCACGACTGTTAACAAAATCACGAGAATGCCCATCACCTAAATGTGGCAATTCCTGTTAGGATGGCAATCTTTATTGAAAGTATGTGTCCTGGTTCACTTACCATGTTGCTGGTCCCCCAGTAATATCGAAATTTCGAACTAACGAAACATCCGATTGCCGCGCAGTTTGGGGATTTGTCGAAAGGCGAAAAAAGAAATTCCAAGGTGACATCCAAGGCTGCCAACAGACAACCAACTGCCAGACAGCTTGAAGAGTAAGTAGAGGACGGAAATCTTCTATAGGTCACGGGGAAGAAAAGAGCCTCAAAAAATCGTGTTATGAAATGGAAAGAACATTCCTGAGAAATGTCCATATGTCGTTTTTCTTACCAGAGCTCGCTCGAATGCTATAGATATCGTCAGCGTTAGGTTGATTTTCAGTTGAATAGTCAGTGGAATACTAGAAAGCATAACAAAATACGGATCAAGTTCGATATTCGCGGGATGCCAATGAGTAGTCAAATATATGTTGTATGGAATAGCTGAAAAAAGCATTATATTACAAGGATTTTACAAAAAAAGGATACGGTAAGAATAAGAATAAAAAAGGATACGTTAATCGTATACAGTTTGCCTCAGTTTTCTTTTGGAGAACCTCCTCCTTAGGGAACGTTCACGGCCTAGTTGGCAAAGGTGGTCCAAGTGGTTCACGCATAGTCTAGGGCTCGATACCCAAATCCCTACTCGTCTGGGTATTCCTTCCCTCCAAGGTGGGCTAATTGGTACCAGACTGGTGTGGAAGGATGAAAACACTGACCTCTACTATATCGCCTGTCACCGCAATGCCTTGTATAGGCTACATACGCATTCAAACGTCGCTACGATTTTGAATGGAAAACGAATGCGGAGTGCACACAAATGGGATGAATTGATGCCAACAACCTTATCCTTTCTCCATACTCATAGAATCGGTAATAAAACTTACTGGTTACAGCATGAAGGAAATCCGTGCATGAAAGGAAAAGCAACAATCGAAAACCAGAGCCTCGACGAAGTTTCTTGACCCTGAACAAAAAATTAGTCACTGTATTCATATTTGTATAGAATTTAATGCTACTCACTTCAAAAATAGAAAGAGAATACAGCCATTGCTTGTCGATGTAATTATTTGTAGCGAAAGAATACATATGTCTCTACTATATCGCCTGTCACCGCAAGGCCTTGTATAGGCTACATACGCATTCAAACGTCGCTACGATTTTGAATGGAAAACGAATGCGGAGGTGCATCCCAAATGGGATGAATTGATGTCAACAACTTTATCCT